TATATGCTCTGGGACAATGTGCCGACCTGATTAGTTTTTGGTAAAAATCCATTAATTACCTAATTTGCCTAATGATTAGTCAATTTTCGAATTTTTCCCACTGATATCTCAAGTAGTAATAATCACATTACAATGAAACTTGGTACATAGATGTCATAGGACAATCAATGCACAGATCTTACAAGTTTTGGTTAATTACCTAATTTGCCAAATTAGTACATTTTTTGCTTTTCTCTTGATATTTTAAGTACTAATTATTACATTTCAATGAAACTTGGAACATACATGTAGATGCTCTAGGACTATGCACAGACCTAATCAGTTTTGAATACAAATCTATGTATATTAATCACCTACTTTGCATATTAGTCAATTTTTTGTTTTTCCAATGATATCTCAAGTACTAATCATTACATTTCAAAGAAACTTGGTACATGGATGCTCTAGGGCATTGTATAGACCAGTTTAGTTGTGATTTAAATCTTTGCATATTAATTACCTAATTTGCATAATATTGCATAATATTATGCTTTTCCATCGATATAACATTTCAATGAAACTTGGTACATTGATGTATTTACACTATGGTATGTTACATTGCACAGACCTTATTAGTTTTACATTAAAATCTGTGCATATTAATTACTTATATACTTATCATACTATTTCAATGAATCTTGGTACATAAACTATGCAACAATTTAATAGGTTTGGGGTTTAATATACATCCACAGATGTGATTGATAATGAAAAACCTGCATATTGATTATCTAAATTATCATTAGCCAAGTTCTGATATCTCAAAAAAAAATCAGATTTAAATTGAACTTGTGATAGAAGTGCTCTGGAATAAATTAGTCTGAAATCCACAAAATGTATTTTCTGTAAGTATGTTAAATTTTAATAATGTGGATCACTTTGTTTTCATGTTGTAAATGTACATTTTAAATAGCAGACAAATATCCATGAAATGCCTTAATCTGACAAAACTATGCCTCTGAGTTTCTTGAGCTGCATATTTGTTGATGCATCAAAGAAAAAAAATGTCTGAGTGTCTATCTTCAATGCGTAAAAATAGCAAAGTTCATTTTACTTTGTTTAGCTCATACTTACCTTACTCTTAATCGATAGATATTAATTTGCAGTTTTAGGATTAGTTCATTCTTGTTCTTAAATACTTTTATATTGATATAATATATGTATGGCTTCACTAGGTAAAATTATCACCTAGATGAATTTGTTAAATTTGTAGTAATTATTTAATGGAAAAATCATTTAATATTACAAGAAATATGCTGGGTTTTGTTTGTTCCAATTGTGTTTTTATTAATGATACGATGCTCATGAGTAGGTAATGCACAGATAACAATCAATTAGCATCAGCTAAAAATGTGTGCATTAAGTGAAAATGTGTCCATCAATTATAAAAAATAAGCACATTAGTTAAAAATGAGCACATGTGTGCATATGTTAAAAAATAAGCACATCAGTAAAAAAAAATTGTGCATCAGTTAAGACAAGTGTGCATCAGTTAAGAAATAAGCACATCAGTAAAAAATGTGTGCATCAGTAAAAAAAATGTGTGCAACATTTTTTTGAAATGGTTTCTGTATAATTTTGGACGAAACGGACATACCGTAAAATTTCTATTTGAGGCCGCGGCTTTAATTAAAATTCATTTTTTCAATGGGTGAATTCAGATGCATGAAGCATCGAGCATTCACTTCAGTAACAGTGGGAAATTTTTCTCAGAAAACAAAGGCCAGAGTGGATAATGA